AGGGGTATTTTCGATTTGGCTTGAAGATGCCATGTTGACTACGAGTAGTAATTCGCTGAGCTGGGGGATGATAGTGAGGTGTGGGCTGTGGAGGGGGGGCTGCTGGGCTTGGAGAAGAAGGCCCAGATCTTTGATGAGGTGGTATATAGCGGCTTGGTAAGGTAGACGATAGAGGGGTGGTTTGGGCCTGGTCCGGAGAATGGGAGGGCGTTCTTGGTGGAGAAAGGGCAGCCTGCAAAGGAGACATTGTGAGCACAGGAGACTGGGCCGGAGAAGGAGATTGAGGGAGTTGATTTTGTTGATTTTGGGCGACATTTTGATGCAAGTTGTGAATTTGCAATGGAGACAAACCATCCTCTAAAAAATCATATGTATGAGTATTTGGAGTATGGATTTTTGAAAATGAAAATTGAGTTTCATCAAAATGCACATGACGCGAAATGATAATTTTGCGAGCCGACAAATCATAACACTTGTACCCCCTATGATTGGAAGGATAGCCTAAAAAGACACATGGAGTTGAACAGGCTTGGAGTTTATTAATTGTGGTGGATGGAAAAAGTGGGAAGCATAAACACCCGAAAATCCGAAGATGAGAATAGGAAGGATTCTTTTGATAAAGAATTTGTGTAGGAGATTTGTAGCCTACAACATTTGTGGGAAGGATGTTTAGAAGGTAGGTAGCCATTTGTAGAGCGTGGTGCCAAAGGGAGGGAGGCAGAGATGAATGTGCAAGCAGAGTACGAACAATATTATTTATGGATTTTATTTTTCGTTCTGCTTTCTCGTTTTGAGAAGAAGTGTGAGGACACGAAAAACGGAATGACATGCCATGTTGTTCACAAAAATTATGAAAGGGACCATTATCGTACTCACGACCATTATCACACTGAAATGATTTTATTTCTCTTTCAAATTGAGTTTTTATGTATGCGTGAAAAGAGAGAAAAATGTTGTGAACCTGTGATTTTTGAGACAAAGGAAAAGTCCACAAAAAATTAGTGTAATCATCAAGAAATAATGCATAATAATGATGGCCGGATGAGCTAAGAATAGGTGGCGTCCACAAATCGCTATGAACAATATCAAAAGGCATAGTGGTGAAAGATAAAGAATCATAAAAAGGCAATTTAACAAACTTCCCAAGGGGACAAGATGAACAAAATAAATTACGGGCTTTATTACAACTAATAAAATTGTTTTGGTGAAGAGTACTAAGAATTTCATCTCCCGGATGACCTAGACGGGAGTGCCAAATACTAGGAGAAATGATTGTAAAAGCAGAAGGTGCTGAAGATGAAATAGCCCGATTTTTGGTGGTGAAAGGGTAGAGCTCTCCCGTGCTCTCACATCTCAGTAGTTTGCTCCCCGTCTGTAGGTCCTTCACAGAAAATCCAAAAAGGTCAAATTCAACGAAAACCATATTATCGTTAGTAAATTTACGTATCGAAATAAGATTTTTAATCAGGTTAGGAGCATGTAAAATATTTTTGAGGTGTAATGGTGGATTTGTTTTGATAAGGGAGGTGTTACCATAACCACGAATTGGAATCATACTACCGTTACCAACAAGTATTCCATTAGGTTTGCTCAAATTAAAATAAGACGTGAGAGTACCTAGATTAGCGGTCATGTGAGACGTCGCTCCAATGTCCATATACCAATTTTCGTCNAGTATTCCATTAGGTTTGCTCAAATTAAAATAAGACGTGAGAGTACCTAGATTAGCGGTCATGTGAGACGTCGCTCCAGTGTCCATATACCAATTTTCGTCCGGCTGGTTCAAAGAGAGAGTGTGCATTGCTTGATCAATGTCAGTTGGAGTATAAACACTTGGAGCAGGAGTTGCTGTGTAGAACGATTGAGGAGGACGAGCACCCAAGACACCCTGCTGCCTTGCCGTCATTGGTGGATGGACACCCCAAGAGGCGCTGGGATAAGGACATGGTGGGGTGGCCCACGGTTGAGGGACCCACCCACCCCAAGGTGGGAAATTCCAGACTTGCTGCTGCTGGTGGTTGTGGTTGTCGCCACCACGGCCACCGTGGGTCTGCTGGTTGTTTCCACCGCGATTTCTGCCATTGTGCTTCCTACCCTTATTGTTTGAATACCTGTTCTGACCCGTCTCCTGTTGCTATCCATTATTGTTCAAATTATTAGTATTGGAATTCATGAAAAAAGCAGAGGTCGAACCTGATTCGAGTTTGGCTCGTTCGGCCTTGGTGGTTTCATCCAGAAGCAACATCGATCGTGCTTGAGCGAACGTCGGCAGAGGTTTCATGTTCTGAACCACCATCACAAAACCATCATATACCTCGGTCAAGCCAGTGAGAAGACGCAGCACCATTCTTTGGTCAGAGACCTTGGCTCCGACATTGGCCAATTGATCGGCCATCACCTTGAGGCGGCGAGTGAACGCCTTTGCATTAGGAAAGTCACGCAAATTAGTGGTTGTGAACTCTGTCTCGAGGTGGATGGCCCGAGAAGTCTTATTATCCTGGAACAATTCCGTCAAACGGTTCCAAGCATCGGTAGCCGTGTCATCGGGATCAATTATGGTGTTTAGGAGATCGTCGGAGATGGTTCCATAAATCCATTGATGAACAATGTTGTCAATGCGATCCCAATGAGCCTTCTCGGCCAGAAGTGCAGCCTCGATTTTTGGAGGAGAGGCTGGAGTTGTCGCCTTATCATCGACCGGTGGTGGCACGATGTGCTTGTAGGTGAGCGTGGCTTTAGCATGGACTGTGAATATAGTCTTCCAATTAATGTATTTAGCAGACTCGTAATCCAGCATGAGGGGAATGATTGATTTGATGTTTGTTATGGTGGTGGCAGGATGAATCTTTCCAGCCATTGGTGAAGAGTAAGAAGAAGAAGAAGAAGAAGAAGAAGGAGGAGGAGAGGTTGCTTTTCTAATGCTCTGATACCATGAAAGTAAAAGGAATTCTTTTTCCCTTGTCCATTGCCTTGAATCAGTGTTCCTAATATACAATCATGACTAACGTAATTCTAGGCTAGGATAATTACAATTACAAGATATCAATCACTATAAATTAGGAGAGCCAACTATACAAGAGATATGGTCAATCAATCTAAAAGATAATTGTGAAAATTAACTTGAATAAATTTATATTCTATCAGATATCTTAGAGCCCTCCACTAAGGGTACCTCGGAGCCCTCTAACAAGGGTATCTCCGAGTCCACCAAGGGTACCTCGAAACCTTCCATCAAGGGTACCTCGGAGTCCTCCACCAAGGGTACTTCGGAGTCCACCAAAGGCACCTCAGAGCCCTCTACTAAAGGTATCTCGGAGCCCTCCGCTAAGAGTACATCTGTGTCTATTAAGGGTACCTCGGAGCCCTCCACCAAGGGTACCTCGGAGTCCACTAAAGGCACCTTGAAGCCCTCCACTAAAGGTATCTCAGAGTCCACGACATGTTGTCCGTGGAGTCCTCAGCATCTTGTCCTCCACTCCGCCAAGGTGTTGGCGATCACCTTGGGACTTGGGCTATGGCGAATGATGAGATTTTTAGAAAAAGTCAAGAATGACGGTATCACGTCAGAGGTGGGGCGCGACTTTTAATCATCAAACTCTCTTCCCAAGATAGTCGGAATGACAAGATAGATAACTTGGTGACTAATAGAGAGAGTCCACGAAATACAAAGTTCAGACGACGTGACCTCCTAGATGGCAAAGGACGCAAATGTCCTAGCGTATGCACAACCACCACGAAGGACATTAAATGATCCCCTAGAAAGATGTGATACATTTATTACGTGGTAGACTTTAGAAAGAGTGCATTAAATGTAGAGATTTTTTTTGGCGTGACAAGAAAAACACTCTGCTCTAAGACTGTGCTCCACAGGCTACTTTCCAAAAGGACCAATAAGGAGTTTCCTCTCAAAGGGATTCACCTGTCCGCAATGATTATCTCAATAGAGGTATAAATAGCTTTCAAATATGCAAAGTAAAAGTACACAAATTGAGACCAGAATACAAAATAGTGCTTTCTTCTTCCCCTCTCTCAAATAACTGACTTGATCGTCGGAGAGGATACGCCGAAAAACATTCCAGTGTTCTTCTAACCCTTTTTTTGAGTGCCAGGACATGCCAAAAAATACTTCAGCACGTTGGAATCGATCGGATAGCCTGAATGCCAACTCATCACCACTCTTTAGGCCACTTGTGACCGTTTCTTTGCCACGAGATCGTCAACTTTCTTGATAAACACGAGTTCACTAAGGAAGAAAACTATTTTTATTTATTTATTGTGCAAAAAATTGCCCGCACATAAACAAAACAAACCATGAATGAAGTTTAGGACTTCTTGAAAATAAATCGTTACAAATATGATTTAATTGTCATAAATAAAATATGATATGACTTAATAGTTATTTAGAAGAAAAATAGAACTAATTTGTATTTTTCTCTAAAAAATATCATATTCTCTACGTAATAAGACAACTCAATCCATTTGTTACAATTCATTATATCTCAAACTTATGTCCCTCAATTATATCTAAATGGCAATAGTGCATCCCAACTATCAAATAACTAAATCACACTTACCTCTCTTTTATCTCTCTCTCTCACTTATCTCATTTCACTTTAATATTAAATTATGTGATTAATTTTTTTTATTATTTAAAATTTAAAAATATAAAATATTATACGAGTAATTACTCAAATATTACAGATTGTCTACAAGCCCAAATTAGTTATAGTGTACATATATTATAGTTAGAATAATAAAAAAATAACATGGAAAAAAAAAAAAAGAATAATCAAAAACACACACACGATAATCTGGGTAAAAACTCACCCAATGGTAGGATCCGGCAGGCTGAAACGGGAGCGAAAAATCCACAGTACAATTTTCCACGATCCCGTTTCCTCACAAACCTCAAAACCCTCTCTCTCAATCCTCACACCACTTTCTCTGTACGAAACACTATCGTCTCTCTCTCTCTCTCTCTCTCTCTCTCTCTCTCTCTCATGGAAGACGACGATGACGAGTTCGGAGATCTCTACACAGACGTCCTTCGACCCTTTGCGACGTCGTTTTCGTCTCAGGTACCAGCTCAAACTCAAGCCACCACTACGACGTCGTCTCTGGACCGTCCGATCGATCACGACAACATCCAAGGTAACGATGAAGAGATTCTCTTTGGAGCTCGCAATTCCAATTCAAACCCTTCTTTTAATCCATTTATTAGTTCTCAGCAAAACCAACAGGAAAACCTATCTTTCGAGCCCAACAAGCTCGGCGGATTGGGTCAATCGGGGCCGTCTATCGATAAAACTTCCGATTCTGATCGGAATTTGAAAGAAGATAAAAAAGAAGAGGGTTTAGCTGGGATTGGGATTAATTGGGCGGAATCGGATTCGAAAACTAGGGTTTTGGAGAGGAGTGAGGATGTGGAATTACAAGACAGGGCTTTTAGGGTTTCAAATTTTATGGACGAGGAAAATATTGACGTTGTGGTTGAAGAGAGAGACGATAAAGATGATCTTCTGGTGGAAAACGATGAGAAATTGAAGGGTAGAAGTGAGGATCTCGAGAACTTGTTGGGTAGAATTGACAAGACTGAGAAGTTTGGGGGTGATAATGAAATTGGGGAGATGGCTACGGAGTCAATGATTCCGGAGGTATCGATTCCAGGGATCTCGGGTACGGTGGATAACCGGGCAGAGGGGAATCTCGAGGATGATTGGGATAGTGATAGTGAGGATGATTTGCAAATTGTGTTGAATGATAACAATCACGGGCCTTTGGGAATGGAGAGAATTGGAGGTGGCGGTGATGATGACGATGAGGATGAAGATGGGGAGCCTTTGGTTATTGTAGCTGATAGCGACAACCTCAACCATCAACCAATGGTAGAGGAGCAAGACTGGGGTGAAGAAACGGCCCAGACAGGAGATGGTGAGAGAAAAGAATTGGGTGATGCGGCAAAAGTGAACGGTGTAATTGCTATGGCACCAAAGATTGGGTACAGCAATCATGGTTACCATCCATTTCATTCTCAGTTCAAGGTCAGTGGAATTGTACATGTGGGGTTTTGTGGTTTCCCGTTGTTTGATGAGAATTTGAAATGTACACAGGTTTGTAGTTGTTGTATAGTGAAAATGAAAATGGTACTTGACTTACTAGTTTTGTGGAAATTGGTGGTGTTAAAGTTGATCAGTGCCATTGTACTTGATGGTGAGATAGACTATTGTACTGATGCCTTTTTTCTCATTAATGGAATGATATTTTTTTTCAATATAATTGATTACTATTGCCAATGCATTAACTTACTGATATTTACTTTATGTATAACAGTGTGTAGAATGCTTTGAGCATTCTTAAATCTGGATGTTTCAAAATAACTAATTCTCATGCAGTTTGATATGTTGAGTTGTCGTGTCCATTATGCAATCAGGATTTCATAGTATCAAAACATGAGCTCAAAATTTGTCCCAAGCATGATGATATTGGTCACTTCTCTTATCAAAAGAAGTCAATAAGGCTCATATTAACACATTAACATGACAACTTCATCTATTTGTTTAGTTTACTACAGTGTTCTGATCTGTACAAATTGTCATACAACAGGGTATATGGCCATTTGCAAAATTAATAGCTGCCCCTCTGTCGCATTACACATTCAAAAACAGCTGCAGTTGCTCAGAATAATTGGGGGTTGTGTTGTTTCTTAAAGTATAAGTAAACCTTAGTAGTGGCTTACTATTCACATTCCAGCGGTGAGGAAAATGCTTTAAATAATAGTTCCTTTCTTACTCGGCCACTAGTGGGAAGTATGTTGACTCACAATTCATTTGCATAAGTCGCATATTTTGCTTATCTAGAGCTCATAAACAGTATAAAGGATGCAATAAATCCAAGGAACTTCTTACCGAGGAGGCATTCTAAGAATAAGAAGAATGTTTTTCAAGAACTAAGCATTTTGTATTCTCCTGAAACAGCAACACATATTTGTTTTAGCTTTGTTAATAAATTGGAAGATGTGTAAACTCCATTTTATCTAGTTTTTGATACCTTCTCTAATCTTTGTATTTTTCCAACATGGATTTTGGCAAACTTAGGGTCAGTTTTATTTTTTTCCCCTCTCTAATTAAATAGGTAAAACACCTAATTAATTTCGAGATGCCAGTCCTCCTCCATGTTACTATTTTAATTCATATGCCATGTTATCTGGGCACAGATGTCTGTTGCTGAAGTGCTTCTCCATTTTTTTTTATGTTATTTGATATTGCACATGAAACAGTATTTAGTTTTATCCGAGTTGCCTATGATTTTTTGTATTTTTAACATCGGCATGTCATTTGTTTTCTACCTTGTTCATAAATTTTGTTTGCAAGTAGTCATTGGGTCATGTTTTATCTGTGTATTATTAGATGTTGCACATNAAGACGACGATGACGAGTTCGGAGATCTCTACACAGACGTCCTTCGACCCTTTGCGACGTCGTTTTCGTCTCAGGTACCAGCTCAAACTCAAGCCACCACTACGACGTCGTCTCTGGACCGTCCGATCGATCACGACAACATCCAAGGTAACGATGAAGAGATTCTCTTTGGAGCTCGCAATTCCAATTCAAACCCTTCTTTTAATCCATTTATTAGTTCTCAGCAAAACCAACAGGAAAACCTATCTTTCGAGCCCAACAAGCTCGGTGGATTGGGTCAATCGGGGCCGTCTATCGATAAAACTTCCGATTCTGATCGGAATTTGAAAGAAGATAAAAAAGAAGAGGGTTTAGCTGGGATTGGGATTAATTGGGCGGAATCGGATTCGAAAACTAGGGTTTTGGAGAGGAGTGAGGATGTGGAATTACAAGACAGGGCTTTTAGGGTTTCAAATTTTATGGACGAGGAAAATATTGACGTTGTGGTTGAAGAGAGAGACGATAAAGATGATCTTCTGGTGGAAAACGATGAGAAATTGAAGGGTAGAAGTGAGGATCTCGAGAACTTGTTGGGTAGAATTGACAAGACTGAGAAGTTTGGGGGTGATAATGAAATTGGGGAGATGGCTACGGAGTCAATGATTCCGGAGGTATCGATTCCAGGGATCTCGGGTACGGTGGATAACCGGGCAGAGGGGAATCTCGAGGATGATTGGGATAGTGATAGTGAGGATGATTTGCAAATTGTGTTGAATGATAACAATCACGGGCCTTTGGGAATGGAGAGAATTGGAGGTGGCGGTGATGATGACGATGAGGATGAAGATGGGGAGCCTTTGGTTATTGTAGCTGATAGCGACAACCTCAACCATCAACCAATGGTAGAGGAGCAAGACTGGGGTGAAGAAACGGCCCAGACAGGAGATGGTGAGAGAAAAGAATTGGGTGATGCGGCAAAAGTGAACGGTGTAATTGCTATGGCACCAAAGATTGGGTACAGCAATCATGGTTACCATCCATTTCATTCTCAGTTCAAGGTCAGTGGAATTGTACATGTGGGGTTTTGTGGTTTCCCGTTGTTTGATGAGAATTTGAAATGTACACAGGTTTGTAGTTGTTGTATAGTGAAAATGAAAATGGTACTTGACTTACTAGTTTTGTGGAAATTGGTGGTGTTAAAGTTGATCAGTGCCATTGTACTTGATGGTGAGATAGACTATTGTACTGATGCCTTTTTTCTCATTAATGGAATGATATTTTTTTTCAATATAATTGATTACTATTGCCAATGCATTAACTTACTGATATTTACTTTATGTATAACAGTGTGTAGAATGCTTTGAGCATTCTTAAATCTGGATGTTTCAAAATAACTAATTCTCATGCAGTTTGATATGTTGAGTTGTCGTGTCCATTATGCAATCAGGATTTCATAGTATCAAAACATGAGCTCAAAATTTGTCCCAAGCATGATGATATTGGTCACTTCTCTTATCAAAAGAAGTCAATAAGGCTCATATTAACACATTAACATGACAACTTCATCCATTTGTTTAGTTTACTACAGTGTTCTGATCTGTACAAATTGTCATACAACAGGGTATATGGCCATTTGCAAAATTAATAGCTGCCCCTCTGTCGCATTACACATTCAAAAACAGCTGCAGTTGCTCAGAATAATTGGGGGTTGTGTTGTTTCTTAAAGTATAAGTAAACCTTAGTAGTGGCTTACTATTCACATTCCAGCGGTGAGGAAAATGCTTTAAATAATAGTTCCTTTCTTACTCGGCCACTAGTGGGAAGTATGTTGACTCACAATTCATTTGCATAAGTCGCATATTTTGCTTATCTAGAGCTCATAAACAGTATAAAGGATGCAATAAATCCAAGGAACTTCTTACCGAGGAGGCATTCTAAGAATAAGAAGAATGTTTTTCAAGAACTAAGCATTTTGTATTCTCCTGAAATAGCAACACATATTTGTTTTAGCTTTGTTAATAAATTGGAAGATGTGTAAACTCCATTTTATTGAGTTTTTGATACCTTCTCTAATCTTTGTATTTTTCCAACATGGATTTTGGCAAACTTAGGGTCAGTTTTATTTTTTTCCCCTCTCTAATTAAATAGGTAAAACACCTAATTAATTTCGAGATGCCAGTCCTCCTCCATGTTGTTACTATTTTAATTCATATGCCATGTTATCTGGGCACAGATGTCTGTTGCTGAAGTGCTTCTCCATTTTTTTTATGTTATTTGATATTGCACATGAAACAGTATTTAGTTTTATCCGAGTTGCCTATGATTTTTTGTATTTTTAACATCGGCATGTCATTTGTTTTCTACCTTGTTCATAAATTTTGTTTGCAAGTAGTCATTGGGTCATGTTTTATCTGTGTATTATTAGATGTTGCACATGACACAAGATTCGATTTTATCACAAGCTGCCTGTGACTTTTGGTATTTTTAACATCAGCATGCCATTTTGTTTTCTACTTTGCTTACAAAATTTATTTGCAAGTAATCATTCGATCATGTAATATGTCCTTACATACCATCAGGATGATTTTTTTACTACTATATTTATTCCATCTTCCAATCTATTTGTTTATTTATTTTTTGATCAGTTCCAATCTATTTGTTAATTTTTATCTGTTTGTCTCACTGTATTGAATGTCTCATATACCTGTTTCCGACATTTTTTTTATGTATTTGTGTTCATTGGGTGAATCCTCAGATGTAAGCAGAAATAATCAAATGAGTCTTTAATTCTAACGTCACGAAAGATGACTGTAATCTGGATTTTTTTTTAGTTTTTATGCTTCAGTATGTTTACAAAATTATTGGGTATTTGATAGATTGATGTTGAATTCTGTAGCTGTGAAATGTTTTATCATTCTTTTGCATGCTTATGTCGTTTATCTTTCTTTATGTTTTCGTGTTATGTTTCTTATCCCTTTGTTCTCTTTAAAAACTTGTAGTATGTGAGACCCGGTGCAGCACCGATGCCTGGAGCAGCTCCTTTGGGCCCTGGAGGAGCCCCAGGTCAAGTTCGGCCGCCTGTCAACGTCGGTCCCATTACCGGTCGTGGTAGAGCTGATTGGCGTCCAACGGGAATAAGAAGTGCTTCTCCCATGCAGAAAGGTTTTCATCCAGGTTATGGGATGCCCCTTTGGGGCAACAATGCAGGACGTGGTTTCAGCAGTGGACTGGATTTCACACTTCCGTCGCACAAGTAATCTTCATATGGCTGTATATGCTGAATTTTTGGTTTTATGAACTTGATTATACTTTTTTAAATGGGAGTTGTCATCTGTAGTTCTTTATTAAGCATATTTTCTTGTTTCTTTTCTGGTAATATTATTTTTTCTGCTTTCAATGCTGTCCAGAATTTCCTTTGAACATCTTCTAAGCTGCTACTATGTGTGGATAATAAAAGCTCAGTCCAATGGGCCAGTTATTTATACATTATTTAATTAGGTACTATAAATTGTCATGCCATTCATCTCGTAAGTCTACTAACTTTTATATTTTGATTTCCATGAACAATCCTGTTAAGGTTTTAATGTGTTTTTGTTGAGATTTTGGCTCTTATCTGCTGGTATGTATCTTTCTATATCACATGCACCAACACTGTGTGTGTCAATTGAATACTGCACCTATGGCGAATCTTATATTGGTGTCTAACATATTAGATAAACACTCTTTGTGTTATCTTATCAATGTGTCGTTGTTTGTGGGTCACTCTTTGGTCTTCTTTTGTCCTGTAAGTCGTGAGAAGAGAGCGGATTCTTTTGAAGATATTCTGTACCTTATGTCTTTGATAATTACACAGTACCTATGTTTTTTGAATATTTTGGAGTTCTTATGCTTGTGGCCTATGTGTATGTTTACAAATGCAACCTATTTGTTCACCGATGGCTGAAGAGATCTTGTTAATAATTGACCTGGAAGAGCTTTTCATATTGTTTGCCATTGAAAAAGGATGAAGACTCAAAAAGAGATAGCATGAAGGGAAAGTATATAAAGTGGTGCAACAACTATAATAGCACCCGCTGGGAGACAAATGAATATACGGTTGCAAGATGCTTAATATGTAGGTTATGATTGTGTACTCCATGGTGAACATAGAAGGAGACCAATGGCGCGTTTGGTTTGCAGCAGAGATTAATGATAAATGGCAGTCTTGAAGTTATATGGAAAGAAAGTTAGGACTATGAATTTATAGGGAAAGATGGACGCTGGAAAATATATTGAATTGTAAAATTGTTTACAGTAATACTCACAATGGACAGGATACTGAAATTTGCCCATTTTGTGTTAGCTTGAATTGGTAGTTTGTATGGTAGTGGAAATTATAGGGGATGTTGATCATGAGTTGAGCAGGATCAAGGTATAAAAGAAGTGCTTTTGGTGTAATAGAATCTGTGGCCATTAGTGCTTCAAGTTGTTAAATGTTGGGCAACACTTTTAAAAACTAGCTTGTGGATGAATTGTGATCATGCGTTAAATGGCTATCTTTGTGATGGAATACAGTCAATTCATTTGTTTTGCNGAGACTAATTATTGCGAGAAAATTAATGAGATACTCTTTTGCCTATCTTTTTATTCTAGTATTTGGGTTTTATGCATGAAATAGTTAAACTTGAGATCAACTTTGTGCATTTGATATTCTTGTTGACTTTCTTGACGATTCTCAGGACTATATTTGAAGTTGATATCGATAGTTTTGAGGAAAAACCATGGAAACTCCAGGGTATTGATGTATCAGATTTTTTCAACTTTGGTCTAAATGAGGAAAGCTGGAAAGAGTATTGCAAACAGCTGGTAAGTAATTCACATTTTATCATAGTGCCTTTGACCACTAGCAGAAAGGATGTATGCAAAATAAATGTTTGTCTTCCAGGAGCAGTTCCGCCTGGAGGCAACCATGCAAAGCAAAATTCGTGTTTACGAAGGTGGGAGGACAGAACAGGTAACGAGGCACTTTTGAATTTTGATATGTAGATAAAAGTATGCATGGACGATTATAAATTGCGCTGACAACCTACTTTTCTGTGTTTGAAAAACGAAGAAATAAGAGGTTTCTTTTCATTTTCTTTTTCCATTTTATTTCAGGAGTTTGATCCGGATCTGCCCCCAGAACTAGCAGCAGCAGCAGGTATTCACGATGTTGCATCTGAAAATGCAAATCTGGGCAAGACAGATACTGGACAAAGTGACTTTGCAAAAGGATCTGCGCGTATGCGACCGCCTCTAGTATGTAACCATGTGTTTTGTTTTATTTATCCGTGAAGATTTGCTCAAGAGAGTTTGGATCTTGCATGCCAACCTGGCCACTGATTTCTTTGTTTTGGTCAATTTTTAAATTTTTTTTACTTAGCTTCTCTGTTTTCTTTCCTTCTCTAGTTTTGACCACTTATTCCATTGACAAAACATCAACTTAAGTGTATACAGTAGAGTTGGTTTGCTGTATCAGTTGTCATACTCACTGGCTAATTAATTCCCTGCTAGCCGACTGGAAGAGCAATACAGGTGGAAAGTGGTTATGGCGAACGCCTCCCATCCATTGATACCCGTCCAGCACGAGTGCGTGATTCCGATGCGATCATTGAGGTGAGTGGTCAATCTTGTTCGTTATTATATTTTATTTGTCTCGATTTGTTTTGTGTCTAGACTTGTGATTCTAATATGCAGAAGTACAAATTTTGTTTGCAAACAGATTGTCTTGCAGGATTCTACCGATGGCGATTCCTACCCAGGAAATGACATCGCAGAAAATGATCCATCAAGAGAGGATTTCAGAGGAGGTGATGAAAATGAAGATGAGATCCTGCAGGAAAATGCCAAACATTTTAATGGTTCTCCACGTGGTTATGATGGTAGGAAGAGGGAGCTTCTAGGAAGAAGAGCACCATTCATGAATCCTGATGATGACAATATTACTGATGGAGATGGAATGATGCCTCCTCATTCAGAAGCACTCAGTAAACATCGTTCTGATTCAAGGGGGAATGCCATTGGATATCCTGATAGGAATTTTGGCATCCCTCACGATGAGAGGTATGAAATAATGATGGATGGAGTTTCTGTGGATTTTCTAGCATGAAGCTGTATAATCTTTTTAATTTTTGTTGTGACTTATGTGGTAGTTCTTGCTTTACTACATTCCTAGAAGTTTTGTGGTTAAACTTGAAAGTAGCAGTCCTTAGATTTTTTGTTTCCTTTCTCTCCACTTTCCTGGAGTAGAAGAATTTATTCTTTTTCTATGTGCTGGTACACAAGAAGAGAAAGGAAAGCTATCAAACCATTTGCGAGCTTCCAATGGAAGCTCACTTAATAGTAAAAGAATATTTGTCATGTAATCTATAGGAACTATAGTGCATATTGTAGGTGATAATGGAAGGGGGGAGAGAGAGAGGTGTCAGCTTAGATGACCTTGCCTTGTCAAACAATGTTCATTCATTGGTCTTGGATTGATGTGTATTATGTAAAGATTAAAAAAAATTTGGTGGTTTCTAAGCCATATTTTGTATAGAAGAAGTTTATTTGGACATTATGCTGGCCATAGGCACATTTGAAATTTTGAACAGATACGAGGAGTTGGCTTTGGGATCCTTAACCTTTTTTGTCGAGGCTTTGGGATCCTTTACCTTTTTATGCAGAAGATCCTTTACCTTTTTGTTCACTTCGGTGGTGGGTGGCTTGAGTAGGTTAATGGAGAGGACACAAAGATGTTATTTGATTGAGGATTTTGGGATTGGTAGGGGAAGGATCTAGGTGTCTCATTTTCAATTTGCAAATGACGTGATTTTCTTTTCTTCAAGAGATGAGGAAAAAATTAGGAATTTAGAGAAGATTGTTGATGAGTTTGGTATGATTTTTGGCCTAAATCTTAATGTGAAAAGAGCTAAATTGTTGGTGGTTGGGCCTCTGAAGTATCCAGTTCTCCCTTTATGTGGTAACCCAATGTCAATGACCTTTTGGGATCATGTCATTGAGAAACTAGAAAAAAGATTAGATGAGTCGAAGAAAACCTTTATCTCCTAGGAGGTAGTATCCCTATTTATTTATTGTCCCTCTTTAAGATGTCTTGTTTGGTGGAAATGAGGATTAAAGAGGGATGATGAAGGAAGTAGAGAAACATAGAAGGATCATTTAATTTATCAGAAGGTTGTGTGTAAGCCTAAAGTTAAGGCGATCTAGCTATGAGAAATTTATTTGAAATGTGACCTTAGTCGGAAAAAGGCTTTGGAGGTTTTCTTTAGAAGAACTTTCACTGTGGCATGTCTTTTTTTTGTTGCAAATATAAGTTGCAAGCTAGTAGGTGGGATGCTATTGCGTTTGAAGGGGTACGTGCTAGAGTCCATGAAAATTCATTTCTTAGGGTTACATAACTTTTCTTAGAGGTTTAAGTTCATTATGGGAGATAGGTTGATATTTGTTTTTGGGAGGATATTTGGGGAGGAGAGTCTTCGTTTTTTAGTATATTTCCTCGTATTTATCGTATCTCTTGCTATCATAGCAAATGTATTGTATCTTTAATAATCATGTATTGTTGTCTGGTCTCCTAGAATTTCGGATATCATTGGAGTGTATAAGTTAAGGAACATTTGAAGTTATCATTACTTCTTTCTATGCTCTATGGTCTCTCCTTGTCCCAAAACTCTTTGGATAAGTGATCCTTTAGGTGTCTTCTTTTGCACATCTTTCTTTGAGACTTTAATGGATGATTCTTTAGTTCCATTATTTCATAAGGTTTAGAAGGCCTAAGCACCTTTAAAGGTGCAAAATTGTGCATCAGTAATTGCTTATTGTAAGATCAATACCCATGATGTGCTTCAAAAAAAGGAAGACCTATGACTTGTCTTTTACCATAATGGTGTGTTATGTGTAGAGGTCATCGTGAAAGTGTGGAGCATTTATTCTTGCATTGGCCTTTCGTGAGCGGTTCCAAGATCAATGTCATGGATGGTTTGCTTAGATTATAAGGGCTTGGGAGGAAACAGAAAAGGAAAGACCCTTTGACATTATGCCTTTTTTGCTATAATTTGGGTTTGATGGAAGGAGAGTGATGCGAGAATCTTGGAAGATAAATGGGAGAAAGTTGAATGTTTGTGAGTCTAACTTCATTTTTTGGCCGCATTTTGGGCATCCTTTACTAAGGATTTTGAGAATGTTACACTTTTTAGCATTATGACGAGATGGACAACATCAAATGGATTGTAACTTTAGTTTTAGTGCCATAGTTTTTGTATTTTTTTGACTTTTTTGTTACCCCTTATTGGGTTGGACGACTTGTCCACCTTTGTTGGTTTTTATAACACTTCTTTTTTCCCTTTATTATTAATAAAGTTTGTTGTCGCTTATCAGAAAAAGTTAGAAAGTCGTAAGATTCTAGAATTATCAAATCATAGGAGTTTTCTTGGAACGCACTTTGAAGATTGTTTATCGTTTCACCTTCTTGTTATAAGTACCCATTTGTCATGATATGATGAGGGAAACGATATGCATAAGTTTTACATTATCCCTTCCATGAATCCACTTGAGTCTGTTTCAAAAAAAACCTACTTGTGTCTTATTTTTTTCCCTTACATGATCTTTAATTCTTACCAACAATGAAAACGGTACTATAAGTATGTAATTTGATAATAATTTTAGCTTGATTCTATATCTTTCAAAACTTTTAGTCAATCCTATTTCCAAATTAGGATTTGATATTTTATTTCCAATTAAAAATTATCATTTGATTGAAAATCTAATTAAAAGCAATAGCCTTTTGACCCAAAATTTTGAGTTTCATTTTTTTTTTGAACTTCTTCTCTCTTTCAATTGCCTTACTATATTTTGCTAAATTCAGGCGTTTCAAAAAATATTGAACTTTGTTTTGAAGTTTTGACTGTATGGATAAGAAAAATTTATAGGTCAATACACAATTCAAGGTTATTTGGAAATACTGGATATGATAAAGTCCTTTGAAATATATTATAGTGGGTTCTAGGGAAGAAATAAGTCTCAATTAGGTATATTGGGGTGATTAACGATATACGCAAAAAAGTGGTGACTTTAGACAAATTCACGATGAGATTTTATGGTATGTGTTATTTGCTGATGATAAAGCTGGGAGGTTCAAAGTATCAGTTAGGCACGTTAGACTCGGCCGATACCAGATTGATAACGATACTATCACAACAAAATCACAAGTGTTGCTTGACTCGACCATAATGCAAAGACAAATTGGTAGAATTGATGCAACTCAAAGTTAACTCGCACAAACTCATAACCGAGAGAACAACAAAACATCAAAAACATATTTGCAAAATCAAGCTACTGCAAATAAATTGATCATGCCTTCTTTTTCTACCATTCTTTAGCTCTATCAGCATCTTTGTGCGATTCGTTGATTGCGAGCACAAATGGTTTTCCTTCTAAGTCTCAATTAGGTATATTGGGGTGATTAAAGATATATGCAAAAAAGTGGTCACTTTAGACATATTCAAGATGAGATTTTATGGTATGTGTTATTTACTAATGATAAAGCAGGGTTCAAAGTATCAGTTGGGCACGTTTGATTTGGCAAATACCGGATTGATAACGATACCTATCACAACAAAACCACAAGTCTTGCTTGACTCAGCCATGATGCGTAGACAAATTGGTAGAATTGATGCAACACAGAGTTAACTTGCACAAACTCATAATCGAGTTGGACGATTCTTTAGAAATTGGTCACTTGCATGAAATCAACAACCAAACACAAAAAAAAAAGGATAGGAAGCCAAAAAAGAAGATTGAATCAAAGCAACACATTCTTTAGCTCTATCAACATCTTTGTGCGATTCGTTGATTGCGATGCACAAATGGTTTTCGTTTTATGTCCCCGCCCTCCAACACTCTTTGAGTGTTAGGGAAATGAAGGGCAACCGTACCAAAAGTCTTTTTTTTTTTTTTTATGGGCATAGAAAAAAAAACTAATAATAGGTTAGTGGTTTTAGATTTAGAGTTTGAGAGGTCAGGGGTGGGTTGTTGGACTATATTAAATACTAGGGTTATCTTGTTTGTAAATATAATATTCTAATATAATGGTAAGACTATAGATTGTATTTTTTTAACTTTTTTGGTTATGAATGTTTCGTTTTAACTTTAAAACACATTAACCTATCATCTAGACTAAACGAGTATATTTATATTAGCTAATAATACTTTTTGAACCTTATTTAAAACATTAATTTGGAGCAGTAATTTATCATTGTCATTAGATTGGAAATGGAACTTATACAGAATTAGGTCATACAATTAAGATTTAGACGATAAAATAAATAGGCTCCAATTTAGGTCACCAAATTGGATCCAATTAGGATTACTTTTTATCAATATATTTTTGGTATTACCCTTGCATAACACATATTTCTTCTTTTTTGGGCATGCCATTTTTACTATATTTAATAGGCTAGATGATGCATTTTTGACATTTGATATAGGGGATTTGTTATTTAAACTTTTTAATTTTTTTTTTGGGCTCCTTTATGTAGTCTTTTGTGCACACTGGCCTATACCATGATGTCGGGACGGATGTGTCTCAATACCTTTTGTCGACGATCTATACTACGACTTTGGACCATCAATGAAAGTAAAAAACGACTTAATCATAAGCTAGAAGTTTGAAGAGAAGCTTTAGAATTAGATTAGTAGGAGTAAAAGTGTAAAACTAAATATATTGAATGTAATTTTAGTAAAAGTAGAAATCTGAATTAAGGAATGGTAAAGATTGAGGATAAAGAGATCGAAGAGTGAATACATTCGATATTTGGTGTCAATATCCAAAGGGATTGTGAGTTCAGTAACAATGTTACCCATAAGGCAGAATGGATTAAATAAAAGAATGCATCCGGTGTATTGTGTGATAGGCACATTCCCCTTAGGCTAAAATGAAAGTTCTATAAAAGAGTCATAATATCAACTATGCTTTATGGTTCTAAGTGTTGGGCGATTAAGAAACAACATCTATGCTATCAATAAGGGCCAAGGAACGCTTTGATGCCGTCTCCCTTTGTTAGTAGTTATTAATAGTAATTGGATGTTATAGTCTTTTTAAAAATAAAAAAAAATAAAACCTAGTTAACTTTCATCTAAAACTTCTCAACCTCTCATGTCTCTCTTCTTCGAACGTTTCTTTCATCCATGGCCAACACTTCCTTCAAAACAAGTTACACAAGCGTGTGTTATGGAATCCGGTGTCTAAAAAACGAGTATAGTGGAAATGAGAATGTTAAGATGAATGTGTGGTAAAACTAAGAAGGATAGAATTAGGAATGAGACAATTCGTGAAAAAGTTGAGGTAACACATCTAAGAGGTAAAATAAGGAAATATTGACTTCGATGGTTTTGACATATTTATAGATGACTTACTACTAACTTGTAAGGAAGAGTGATGTGATAGCTATGACAGAAAACGAAGTGATAGTGGAAGACTAAAATTAATTTTAAATGAAATAGTAAAGAAATATTTGATAATTTATGGCTTAACATAAAGTATGACCCTTGATATAGCACATTGATGAATAAGGATTCATGTAGCCAACCATAAAAATGTTAGGAAATACTTTGTTTAGTTGAGTTGAGTTTAGGAAACACATTTCCATTTAAATGTTTATACAAAAAAAGTGGAATAATTTGGTAAAAAATATAGTTCCTAATCTGGCATAGTAATCCATTAATTTTCGGCACACTAGTATTGTAGAAAGTTCTTACCTAGGCCTGAGGCAAGGTGAGGCTTACTTGAAGCGCCTTGATGAGCTTGAGTGAGGCAATTTTGCTGTAGTTGTGGCTAGGGACGGAGCTCCCTTGGGGCCAAAAGGGCCACCCCCAACCCCAAGATTTTCAAACTTACTATACACTCCTTTTAGGTTTTAAAAATTCTTATGCTTCCCTCTTAGATTTCCAAAAGCTCTTGTAATATATAGTATACTTTATCTATTGTATTATAAAACTTAATGGCCTAACAATTATATCTATTAAAAATCTTAAGAATCAGAATCAAATCAAACAAAGAGACGACGGCGGAAAATACGCTGATTAGACAGCAAAAATAGCGCAACAAAACGAAGAATCAAATGCTAAATTGGAAGACTTCTTTCATAAAAGAGAAGAAAACAACCGAGATACCGAACTCCTACTGTTAGGGAACTACCCCGTGGGATTGGGCACCTCTTTGAGTACTAGAAAGGGCGATCGATTTATATCCTTTAAACCAAAACCCAACTTTTGAGTTTTAGTTAAAAACAGATTGAGGACAGGGGATCAATTTTTGACNGGCACCTCTTTGAGTACTAGAAAGGGCGATCGATTTATATCCTTTAAACCAAAACCCGACTTTTGAGTTTTAGTTAAAAACAGATTGAGGACAGGGGATCAATTTTTGACATTATAATCCAAATTAATTTTTTTGATAATATCATGGCAAAGTTTGGACAAATTCTTTACAACTAGAAATTTAGCATTAACGATGACTTGTTGGATGATCCTATTGAATATTTTTCCTAATTGTGCCGCTATTTGGTCCCTTTCATAACAAAATCCTGGCTCCGTCCCTGGTCGGGGTGTGCAAGGTGCATTAGGCGATTATTTTTTTTTATTTTTTTCTCCTTCAATGATATATTTTGGGCCATTGATGTATTGCCTTGATTGGAATATTTGTTGTGCTTCACACCAAATTATAACTCCAAGTAGAAATATCGAAGTCTAACCCTAAATTCTACAAAGTCTGAAAATAAATATCCATCTCATATTAGTTAAAGAATGCTAATAATTCTCAAATTAGTTGTTATTTGCAAAAATAGTATTGATATTTATTGTAATTTGCTGAAATTCAGTGTTAGAAGTTGATTAATTTTGGTGGAAATCTCACAATGACTATCTTATGCCATTGACATTAGATATATTTGTCTATAATTAGTTTTTTTTTTTGCAATATTTAATATGTGCCATGGATAAGAGCTGTATATTATATATTTGCTTGAAATTTTCTAACCTTTCTTGCATTCAGTTGTATTTGAGGTACAATTGATAATTTTTACATGTTATCTACAACATGCGCCTTGGACCAATGAAGCCCATGCTTTGCCTTGTGCCTTGGGCCTAGGGCCCAAGAGACCTTGGCGGCTTGGTGCTTTTTTCACCTTACATAACGCTGCAACATGCATTTGTGGAATGTTGGAAACCGTATATTATGATTTTAATGGAAACATTTTGGATCTTATTATAGAGGTTACAGTAGGAACTAGGAAGTTTGAAATAGTTTTTTCTCACGGTGGCTTTTGTTCCAAATATAGCACTTCATTGTGTTGTTGATTGTTGAAGCCTTGAGTACGATTGTATTCCTCCCTTTTAGATGGTGGTATAGATATTAATTTCTGGCAAGGACCTCCTTTTAATCAGTTCTTTTTCTTGCTCGGTGATCCCTATGAAGCACGGATACTGCTTTATAGGGGCTGTGTGTACCTGACTCCATGTCAGACATTTGATTTGTGGAAACATGACAAACCCAGCCTGTATGTACTCTCTGACAAAGGCAACGTGTTCTCGGCATAGATCCGATATCTGTAAAAGACGCAATGTACTAGGTAGTGTTTAACACTTATGTTGTGATATTTTGTTGAGATGCTTTGTTCAAGTTATGTAATGTCACGTAAAGAAGTTTGAATAAATGGAGGAAAATTAGTAATTTTCTCCTTGTGTTCTGCTGCATTTTTGTAAGATGCTAAAATTTATGTATTGCCCTGTTCCTACTCTTGTAGAAACTGTCATGATTGCTTATCTTTGTTGTGTCCCATGTGTTTGTTAGGGCTTGTGCTGCAAAGATGGTAGTAGAATTCAGCTTAGGAGTGCAAGAGGATACTTCGGAGGGTTAAAGAGTTAGTTATATTAGCCACACAATTTCGGTAGTGAATGCATAAGTACAGTAGGGATTTTGGAGATAAGAGGAAAGGTCTGTACCTAAATGAGGATTTCGTATTTTGGTATATTGTCCATGAGGAGTGGTAGAATGATGGAACCGTTGAATGAATGAAGTGGAGAGATTCTTCTAGGATGTGTGATCTATCCATAGCTGTCAAATCAAAAGGAAACATGAGATTCTTACAATTGCAATCATGATATATTAAACTTTTCTCTTGAACTGCATGTGCCCGAGATTACGTCACCGGAAAAGATAGATTTGTTTCTTTATTTGAAAGATAGAATTAGGCTGAATAGATGCGTAAGTTTGGATCAATGTTACCGTGTGTCGCTTTGGTACGGGGTATGGGTATGGGTACACTATACGACACTTTCTTAGGTACANCACCGGAAAAGATAGATTTGTTTCTTTATTTGAAAGATAGAATTAGGCTGAATAGATTCGTAAGTTTGGATCAATGTTACCGTGTGTCGCTTTGGTACGGGGTATGGGTACAGGTACACTATACGACACTTTCTTAGGTACACGGTACGATAGAGGTAGGCTTAGTTGGTACGGTATTTTGGATCACAATTTATTTTGGAACTCTTACGTAAATCGTTTTTACTACTATACAACATTATATATTATAGAACATTCATAAACATTAAGTCAGTTACCATTTATCTTATAGTTGTGTATGATNGGGGCTGTGTGTACCTGACTCCATGTCAGACATTTGATTTGTGGAAACATGACAAACTCAGCCTGTATGTACTCTCTGACACAGGCAACGTGTTCTCGGCATAGATCCGATATCTGTAAAAGACGCAATGTACTAGGTAGTGTTTAACACTTATGTTGTGATATTTTGTTGAGATGCTTTGTTCAAGTTATGTAATGTCACGTAAAGAAGTTTGAATAAATGGAGGAAAATTAGTAATTTTCTCCTTGTGTTCTGCTGCATTTTTGTAAGATGCTAAAATTTATGTATTGCCCTGTTCCTACTCTTGTAGAAACTGTCATGATTGCTTATCTTTGTTGTGTCCCATGTGTTTGTTAGGGCTTGTGCTGCAAAGATGGTAGTAGAATTCAGCTTAGGAGTGCAAGAGGATACTTCGGAGGGTTAAAGAGTTAGTTATATTAGCCACACAATTTCGGTAGTGAATGCATAAGTACAGTAGGGATTTTGGAGATAAGAGGAAAGGTCTGTACCTAAATGAGGATTTCGTATTTTGGTATATTGTCCATGAGGAGTGGTAGAATGATGGAACCGTTGAATGAATGAAGTGGAGAGATTCTTCTAGGATGTGTGATCTATCCATAGCTGTCAAATCAAAGGGAAACGTGAGATTCTTACAATTGCAATCATGATATATTAAACTTTTCTCTTGAACTGCATGTGCCCGAGATTACGTCACCGGAAAAGATAGATTTGTTTCTTTATTTGAAAGATAGAATTAGGCTGAATAGATGCGTAAGTTTGGATCAATGTTACCGTGTGTCGCTTTGGTACGGGGTATGGGTATGGGTACACTATACGACACTTTCTTAGGTACACGGTACGATAGAGGTAGGCTTAGTTGGTACGGTATTTTGGATCACAATTTATTTTGGAACTCTTACGTAAATCGTTTTTACTACTATACAACATTATATATTATAGAACATTCATAAACATTAAGTCAGTTACCATTTATCTTATAGTTGTGTATGATTTTCTATTAACTAAAACAATATATAATTATAAATCTATATATATGTAGTCAATTAATATGTATTTTATATTTGTACTACATGTTCTAAAGCGAATTGATTTAGGGTTAGTATTATTACAATTTAGGGTCATCTATTTTAGTGATCTAGATCGCGAATCCACCCCCTTTGGGATCGATGAACCAAGAACATGAATTATCAGGAATTTGATGAATTGTGGTAACCATGGTTCGGATTTACTGAAGGAAAGTTGTGGTTGTGAAAACTTGTTTCTAAATTTGGTAGAAAAAAACATGATTGTGGTGTGCAACTAAATGAGGAGACTTTGTTGGGCTATCTAGTGTTATTAGTCGTACATTTTGATGGTTGGAATCTGGAAAGATTTCCATGGAAGCTGTTAATTTTGTATTATCAAGTCTTAGTGGAATCAATATGTTAATGGTATTCTAGCCTTTCCATTCGCTTATTTGGAAATCACTTTTTTACATACTTTTGGTGTAACTGGTAATTTTTTCATGTTTCTAGTCAGACTTATGATTTGTAGAAACACGAGGTTTTGTTGTATTTTGTGCTGATTGTATAGTTCGTATTTTTACTGTTTGATGCTTCAACAGAAATTTCTTGACAAATCTCTGTTTTTTGTATATCTCTTTGCTTGGTTATGATTTTGATTGTTATTTAACTTCTGCTGTTTTGATATGTTGAATTGATTTGGCTGATGATGTGCTTTAATTTTGGCTCCACAACTTTGCCAAAAGAAGTTAACAAACACTTGCTACTTTCTTTGTCTTCTTAAACTAGGCGGACAAAGGGAAGAAGAGCTCGTGACAGGTCCCCTAATGTGACTGCTTCTGGAAGTACAGTGGACAGGCAATTTCCTGATAATCAGAAGGAAGATTCGGTTGAGAGCATTGATGGTAATCATAGTCCTCCTTGGTCATCTCCTGCCAATGTGGAGACTGACGGGAGCCGGGGTTTCGAACGCAAAGATGCTGTGCATGATGAACTTTTACTTGAGGAGGGAAGCACGGGAATGGAAAGAGAGGAAATGGCTTTGAATACAGTGACTACAAATGATACTCTCAACGATGAAAATGTAGTACATTCTGTGCAAAAACAAAAACTAAGTTCCCAAGTCGAACAACCTTCTTACCAAAACAATGATGATAGGGAGGAGTACTCGAAGGCTGCAAGAAGTAGTGAAAACAGCAAAGCAAGATCAGGAAGTAGTAAAGACTATAGGAAGTCACGTGATCCTGTTGAGGAGGAAGTTGTTCAGGGTGGACGTTCTACACGCACAAGGATCATAAAGAGACCGGTAGGTGAAAATGAGGATATTGGGCAAAGAAAAGATCGTGATGAGAGGCAAGAGATTGAAAAACACCATGTTACTGTCAAAGGGAGGGAGGATTCTTATTCCCGTAAAAACTGGGACCCTAACTTGGTCCATCCTTTGCATGTGAAAACTGAAACTATTGACAGGCGAAAGGAGAGTGATACTTCTGAGGTAGCCTGGCAACGGAGAGGTGAAGATCCACATGGCAAGAGAACTAGACCTGAAGACACAAGAAAACGGGAGCATAGTGAGGAAATGGGGTCCAGGCACCGGAGTAAGGTTCGAGAAAATGAGAGGAGTGATAGAGATGACCATCATCAGTTAAGAAACTATTTTGACAATGGTAGCTGGAGGGCTCATGATAAAGATATGGGGTCACGATACAGGGATAGGGATGATAATTTGAAGAGTCGAAGTGAGAACATGGATGATCTCCACATCAAAAGAAGGAAAGACGAGACACAATCAAGGAGGGACAATGCTGACAAAGACGTCTTGCATATACACACNGAAGAGTCGAAGTGAGAACATGGATGATCTCCACATCAAAAGAAGGAAAGACGAGACGCAATCAAGGAGGGACAATGCTGAAAAAGACGTCTTGCATATACACACAGAAAATTCCAGTCGGCGAAAGCGAGAAAGAGATGATGTTCTGGATCAGCGGAAGAGAGATGACCAAGCAAGATTCAGAGATGATGATCAGCATCAAGCAAGGCACAAAGAAGAGGGCTTCTTTCAGAGGGAGAGGGGTGAGAGGCAGAGAGAGCATGATGAATGGCACAGACTTAAACAATCCCATGAAGAGAGTTTATCAAAGCGGGAAAGAGATGGTGGGCGGGGAGATTTGAGGAGTGGGCGAAATACAGAAGACAAAGCATGGGCTGCCAATTCGAGGGCGAAGGATGACTATAAAGGTTCTGATAGGGAGTACCTAAAAGATGCTGGGCGACATGTTGAGCAACTAAAGAGAAGGGATCGAGTTGAGAATGAAAGTTTTTCCATGCATAGGGGACGTGAGGATGCTTACACACGTGGAAACCAGCTCACTAATGATGGGAAACGAGCAAGGCATGAGAGGGCAAGCAGTCGAAATGATCGTGCTGTCAATGCTTCTGACAACCATAGGGTGCACGAAAAGAGACAAAAAGAGAACATAAGGAAGGGCAGAGAATTAGAGGATGGTGATCACATCTCTTTGACCCCTTCTAAGAGGAATCAAGAAGAGCACAATGGTCAAATAAGTGAGACGGTATGCTACTTTTCTGGATATAAATAAACATCTGTGGAGAAAAAAGCCACCAACAAAATTTCAATTTTCAGGAAATGAACTAAGAGCTCTAGGAAAAGGTTTCATTTGCCTTATTGTTATTAAATACTTGCTTGGCCAACTGTGGGAACCAACAAACTTTTGTTTAGATGTCCTCCAATCAATTTCCATCTTCAATCCGTTTTACGAATGCGATTGACTGACAGGTTATTTCGAGGACACAAAGATATGTATCGTTGTTGGTGTTTACCATTCTATTATTGGTAAACTTGGCTTGTTATGAGGTGAAAAGACAACGTCGTATGTTCTAAAAGGCCTTTGCTATAGCACCAAAATGTCACACTACTACACCACACTTGATAGATCTATCATCTATGTGCTCCCAATCCTCAATTGCGAGAATATGTTGCAAGTTTATCTGTTAGTACATCTGCATTTTTCCTCAGAAGCAAATTTCTGAATCTTTAAATTACAATATTCTGTAATTTTCTGATGAGGTTCAGTTGTGAGTTTTATTGTGCATCATATACGTTGCTTGGTGTCTGTGTTTATACTACATTCTTTGTGCTTGAAAGGACCAATATTAAACATTCAACAACCTAACAATACTAGGGAAAATCTAGCCGAGGCAATCTGTTGACGCACGTTTACCGAAATTTATATTTATCAAGTTCTCCATTTTTTAATTTGCCCAAAAAACTTTGGTGCGAGGGGATAATTGTATCTTAATTACAATATCAACATGTAACTATTGATTCTCATTGTGATAACTAATACTAGTGATTAAATAATAATTACTGCAAGTGGATGAATTTTTGACAGCTCCATGTTTTTAAATTGTTTTCCTGATCTTGGAACCCAATAAAACTGCTACATGTTCGCCAAAGTGTGTAGTAATTTACTCCTAGATTTGTGTTCGAGGGNGGATGAATTTTTGACAGCTCCATGTTTTTAAATTGTTTTCCTGATCTTGGAACCCAATAAAACTGCTACATGTTCGCCAAAGTGTGTAGTAATTTACTCCTAGATTTGTGTTCTAGACGGGACAGAATCGGGTTCTTAACAGTGGGATACAAATTGATTAGGAAATGAAATTTAATCTTCATGGGCGTGGACCGCGTGGTTCACTTTCTATTCATTGTGTGTACATAAGTTGCCATATCACCTTGGATATTGCCATAGTGGTACTGTCACTGCACAGCAACCAAAGGATTGGGGACTCAGTGGTGTAATGTCAAGTTTATTGATCTATTAGTTGTAAGAAAATCCTGGGGCCTGTTTCAGTTGGTGTGTTAATAAATCTCACTGAAAATATGGAGTTACGGGGTGTGATCTAGTATGTTGTGTGGTCCTTTCTTTAAGCTGACACTTATTGGTTTTCAAAATGGAACTCATCAACAGAGATCGTTGTATCTTGAAGAAACCATTTTGGTGTTATTGTTGTCAATTAAACAATTATTTGGGATATGGTCACCATATTCTTTGGATTCCCTGCATAACTTTGCATGTGCTTAGTTTGCTTTGAGGTTTTTCGTTTGCTATAATTTCTCATTCTTAGCCTTGATTCCATAAAACATACGTGATAATATGCCTTACGGGGTTTAGTGTTTTAGTTTCATTGAACTGGCATAATATAGTAGTGTTATGACTTGAGACAGACTATTTATAGAGGGCATAAATGCATTATTCATCAACTTTTGTATTTCCAAAATTTTTTTGCACGTTGTAAAATTGTTTTCTTCACACCATATTTTTTAATTCAACAGATTTGCAATGTTTGGCTCTTAACATTCTACAGTATTCCATTTTATGTTTCCTTTTTCTTTGTTGTACTGTAATTTTCAAAATCATCATGGCCATTGGTATTGATGTCCTCATTACTTTCTCCATGCCTTGGTACCTTATATTTCTTTTCCATATCAAGATTCAAAGACTTAGTGTCCAGTACCAAATGACTGGTCCTTGCCTTAAAATGAAAGCATGACTGCAAATGATTTGGACTAGCAATTTGTGGTTTACCGTTACATCGTAATAATTTCCTTGTCAATTCCTTCCTTCTGAAATATTTTAATATGCTAAATGGGTGCATTTTTTTTTTTTTGGTTGATTGCCTTAGAATAGTTGGGTGATCTATTTTTGCTTCATTTGCATCAATTCTTGCACTTGCTTTTCCTTCCCTTACTTTCGCTTCTAGACTTGTTGGTGAGAGAACCCTAATCAGTAGTTTTAACTTCAAAAGTAAGTGCTTATGATCATATAGCTATGCAGTTACATCTTGTAACTCCAGTGCCATGTTACCATGTTAGTTCTGTAGCACCTTGAGTTTCCAAGTGATGTATATTTTGTAGCCACATAGATGGCTACCGTAGCACACAGTGTTGGGGGTCATCAATCAGTCTGAGGTTTTTTGAATGCCGAGCTAGCAGGTAAACTATTCTCATGTGTTAGATGACACAAATTTGATCAAATCTAATTAATTTTAACTTGAGATAGTCCAGTTCGAGCTTCCCTATTCTTTTTTTTTTTGGTCATTGAGCTTCCCTATTCAGCTTGATTGATTCACCTTTGTATGGCCCCATGGATCCTCTTATGACTGCACAGTCCACAGATGAAGTTTGGACCTATCTTCTTAGATTTGCCTCCCTGGGAGCTTCGTGCCATTTGAATTGTTACACAGGCTGCATGATAATGTATGCTATGCAGCATAGCAGTTTTCAGATAAGTTCACCACATATTTTGATACGTTGAATTCCTTTCTTGATGAGGTACTACCACAGATGACCTGGAAAAATGTTCTCCTCTTCTTCGGGATGTTGATAATACCGATGGTGGCCGCCTGACACCCATTAATTGATATTGTCTGTTGTTTTTTTAACTTTTGTTCAGGTTTTTGATGGAGCCAGTTTCTTATTCATCTTGTTGGAAAGTTTTGTGTTTAGTTGAGCTCCTTCTCAATGGTTGTTAGTACATTTGTTTAGGTGAGCTTGAAAGGCAGAGTTGAGCAAGGAAGTGGTGAGCATGACATCCGTATGCATCATCAGTCTTCCAGAAAACATAGGGAAGATGTTTCGTCAGATGATGAGCTGCAAGATTCAAGGAGAGGACGGTCTAAAATGGAGCGCTGGACGAGCCATAAGGAAAGGGATTTCAGTATCAGCAGTAAGTCATCTTCTTTGAAGGTTAAAGAAATTGACACTCATAATAAGTCCTCTTTAGACCGCAAACTTCCTGATGAATCTTCCAAGAAGGTGGAAAATGCTGACAGCCAACATCCCTTGGCTAGCGAGAAAGATGCTAGTGATCCAGTGAACAAGAATGCTGATGTGAATCCCATGGAGGATAGACACTTGGACACCGTTGCTAAGTTGAAGAAGCGAAGTGAACGCTTCAAACTTCCAATGCCAAGTGAGAAAGAAGCCATGGCAATCAAAAAAATGGAAAGCGAGCCATTGCCTTCGGGCCAAAGCGAAGCCCATGCAGATTCAGAGGTCAAACCCGAGCGTCCGGCACGGAAACGGAGGTGGACCAGCAACTAAATTTGAAGTCAGCGAACCAATGTTTGATTTGATGCAGTAATTTCATACTTTCTGAGCGAATATCTGCCTTGCTCCATTGCTTATATCCAATACTTTGATGGCTTGTCTTGGCCATGGCTACAAAACCCCTTTTCTACAGTTTGGTGTTACCTGTGTACCTGCACAACAGATTTACAAACTTGTAACCCTACTGCGGTTGTTTATTTTATTACGTTTTCTGAAAACTCTGTATATACCAGTGAGTGTAACATTATATTGGCCATTGATGGTGGCCCAGAATTGCTTTTCAGCTCAGAACCTTAATTCATAATGTACTATTAGTAGATGTATCTGGGATGCCATCAAGCTCATCTAACACGCTGATCCCTGTCATTGATGGGATGTAACCCGAATGAAGGCTGATGTTCTAGGAGGCTGCATCATAAATTGTGATTGCTGAGGTTCAGTACTTCCTTATGTCACACAATGGTCAAAGAGGGATGAGGCTTCAGCTCTGTAGGAGGAACAACATTGAGGTTGCTTGGTAAGGCTGACCCATTTTTGGATTGCATGTATTTTGTATCTTTATAGGCTTTTTTATTTTCTTTTTATGTAGTAGGAAAGCTAGAAAACAAACACAACATTTTGTTGGTCATGTATGTTTTGTTCTAGGAACAAGTGATTTACAGAAGTAATGAAAGGAAAGAGAAATAAGTGTTCAATATCCTGGTTGAGACAGACCTCCTCTCTTTTATAGATACAATGAGTAGATTCAGTCCTTGGAATCACTTATAAGGGATTATTGCTAGGCTCTGAGCAGTGAGCGTCTGTGAGTTACTTTCTGCTAGTTTCAAAGAAGAATGGTTCTTGTAAGGAAGAGATTGATCTGTTATGTCCTGTGCATTTTTTTTTTTTTTTGGGTTCTTCTCTCATTGTATCTTTCTTCCTTGCCAGTTATTAAAATGAGCCATTTTTTGATTTGTGTGTGTCATCTTTGTACAGGGTTATGAAAATGGAACTGCCTGTACACACAGGATTATGAACTCCATCCACTAGGGCTCCCATCAATATAAATCTGGCCTTGAATTCAATTGGGGCTTACTATGTATAGGTGATACTCAAACCGAGACAAGTGATGTACCATTGACAGAAATTGGGGGAATGTTTTTCCTAGTAATAACTGTGAGGTCTTTGGAAGAAATCTTTTGCAGTAGGTTATTGCCCTTTCGTCGGTGGATCTTCCTTGATGAAATTGGACAGAAACAATGAAGTAGTGAGGTTTCGTGGGTAGCATGAACTATATTATTCTAAGGCACCATGAAAAGCTTTGAATAATTTTGATTGCATAGAAAGTGAGATCAGAAAGTTGTTTTTAATATTTTTATGCAACAAACGAATTCGATAGAATAATAATATATAAGATAGCTAGGTTTTTAAATTTATGGGGTATATTTTCTTTTCAAATTTTACTCACCTACACACACTTTCCCTTACAAATTTCATAAATCTAATACAAATATTCCACAACAAATACAAATTTATTATATATACACATTATATATATATATATATATATCTATCTATATATCTATCTATACACAGTATACACAGTCTAATACATGCTTAGTATCATAACTTAGTATCCAGGATATCACTCACTATATATTAAGGGGGCTAATAACTTGAAAAATTAAAAATAAACTATGTTCATAAAAAATGATCCAGATGAATTTAAACTAGTTCTAACGGTACAAATTCACTCCCCAACAATTCCACCCCCCCCCCCCC